TTGATTTTCCTGCTTGTTTTTTCCTGGAGCCTCAGTAGGCAATGAAAGGGAATGACTGTGAGGGTTTTCTGGCAGCACAGCAGGTAGCACAGTCAGTGTGCAGCCCGAAAGGCATCCCCAGGCTGCAACTAGAGGTGGAGAAGGCTGTGCAGGTATCAGTGGGGACACAGAGTGGGAGGGACTGCTCACTAGACCCATCCTAGGCAGTATATAAAGCATCTGTTGGCTAGGTAAGGCAAGGGATTAGAGGTCAAACTCATCAGTCAATTTAGTAGGAAAGGAAGGGCAGCCACAGTATATCATGTTCCCTTCTTTCCCTGAAGTATCTGCTGTGTCTCCTCCTCAGACTGTGGGCTGCAAGCCCCTCTCAGCAGGATTGTGGGTGGTGAAAACTCTGTGGAAGGGGAATGGCCATGGCAGGCCAGCCTGCAAGTTCGGGGACGTCACATCTGTGGGGGAACACTCATTGCTGACCGCTGGGTGGTCTCAGCTGCTCACTGCTTCCAGGATGAGAGGTAAGTAGAGAGGGAAGAGTGCTGGGCATAAAGATTTGCGTTGCTTTCTACGTCATGCATGATGGATCTTCCAAGCAGTGAAAATGTCATGGGACAGCTGCACTCCTCATCTGGCACTTGTGTCATGCTTCTTTGTGGCTTGGAGCTGGAGAAAGGGGAATGGTTACACACACTAGTATTTGGGTGTGCATGCAAGGAAAAAGGGACAATGCTGGTATTCATAGAGCAGCTTTGAGGGAGCAATGGTACCCTCCACCTTTTGCTTTAGCTCAGGCTTGTCCCCATACTGTCATCATGGAGATGTCAGCATGTGCTACAATGGGGCCAGGATAACATTACCTGCAGAGCATGCTGTTTGGATCCCATGCTTCTCTGCTGCATTTCACAGGCTGGCCTCTGCCTCCATCTGGACCGTTTACTTGGGCAAATACTTGCAAAATGCCACCAGCCACACAGAGGTGTCCTTCAAGGTGATCCGCCTCTTCCTCCACCCTTATTACGAGGAGGACAGCCATGATTATGATGTGGCCCTTCTCCAGCTGGACCATCCTGTGATCATCTCGCCCTTAATCCAGCCCATCTGCTTGCCTGCTCCTTCTCACCTCTTTGAGCCTGGCCTTCATTGCTGGATCACTGGCTGGGGAGCCCTCAAGGAAGGCGGTAGGTTCCAGGTCTTTGTTGGTGGCCTATTGTAGCAATGCCAAGGCAGAAACATAGGTTCAGATGTGTGGTAGGCAGAATAGGCATCTGTTCACCCCAAAACATTATGCTTCCTTTACTCCCTTTGATTTTGGGCAACAGGTTGATCAAAGTTACCTGTTGAGTGCCCTGAAAACTCATTTGGAGAGTCATAAGAGTCTGGTAATCTATATGGGGACAGCGTGTATTTCTTCATTGAAAGACTAGAATAGCACTTCAGGTCAGCTTAGTGCCTTTGCCCACTCACACACTTGTTCCAGCTGCTTCCTAGATGGAAACATTCAGGAGACTATACAGAACTGGACAGTCCTAGTTTGCATACTTAGCCAGAAGAGCATAACATCCATTTCAATAAGAAACAAACCCAAGACTCTGACAACCTAGAGGTTTACTCAAACCAGAATCTTCCTTGTCCCAAAAGCTGAAGCGCCCACAAGAAGAAAGGAATGGAATATTACTCCTTCCATGCAGGGAAAGTGCTCTGCTGAAAGTTAGAGATTGTGATGCCAGTGGAGAGCAGAACAGGAATTCTGATGGCAGGTTTCAGCATGCAGTGAGATAGACATGGGCTGGGTGGGGGTTTGTGGTGAACAGTGGGAAGTTCCACCGTAGCTCACCTGCACTACTTTTGGGGCTCTACATCTCAGGGCACATCAGCAACTTCCATGCAGGGAAAGTGCTCTGCTGAAAGTTAGAGATTGTGATGCCAGTGGAGAGCAGAACAGGAATTCTGATGGCAGGTTTCAGCATGCAGTGAGATAGACATGGGCTGGGTGGGGGTTTGTGGTGAACAGTGGGAAGTTCCACCGTAGCTCACCTGCACTACTTTTGGGGCTCTACATCTCAGGGCACATCAGCAATGTTCTGCAGAAGGTGGACGTGCAGCTCATCCAGCAGGACATCTGCAGTGAGGCCTATCACTACATCATTACTCCCAGGATGCTGTGTGCTGGGTACTACAAGGGCAAGAAAGATGCCTGTCAGGTGACAGAGGAGTTGTGGGATCAGGATTGACTACTGGAGGTGGGGTGTGTCCCAAGTCTCACAAATGCAATCCACAGCCTGAAATGGGGGTGAAAAGACCATAATATGTCCCTTCCCCACCACTCCCTCTAATCTAAGTGGCCAACAACGGCTCTCAGGACCATTTCTTCCCAGCATCCTTGCCTTAGACAGGATTCAAATGCACTTAAACATTTCTCATTTCAACCTATTCTCCACTCTTTACCTCCCACTTTCAAGTCAGGTGTCTACATCAGTCTCTTACGCCCTCAGCATGTCTGTTCCTTCACAAGTATCAATCTCAAGGAATTCCTCTCCTGCATCCCTCCTGGTATCCTCTTGGTATCCAGTTAAATTCCACCAGCTTCCTTGCTCGCCACATATTTAGAAATGCCACACAGAGCAGGAGGAAACAGTAAAGTAACCAGCTTCTTGGGACGTGGCTAAGGGAGAGGAATTTGCATGATGAAGGAATGAATGGGTCAGGTGTTTGCACTGGAGACTGTTTATGATGTATGCCTAAAGTACAAGGAATGTTGCAGATGTCCCAGGCATGAGTTGAGGGGATACAGTATTTGATACAGAGGGACCCAAATACAGTGTAATCATGCAGCAGGAGAAGCTGATGGATAACCATTGCCCCATTTTTCTTTTCCTTTCTCTAGGGTGATTCTGGAGGTCCTCTGGCCTGCAAAGAACCCAGTGGCAGGTGGTTTCTGGCTGGTTTGGTCAGCTGGGGAATGGGATGTGCACGTCCAAATCACTATGGAGTGTACACCAGGATCACTCAAGTGCTGGGCTGGATGAACCAAACCATGAGCTGAGAAAAGTGCATCTCTGTCTTCTCCCCATCACACCTACACTCACATGGCACTCATTCCTGATCTTGCTCATTTGCCTCTCAG